CCGTTGGTTGAAAAGAAAACGGAATATTCGAAAGAAAAGGTGGTGTAAGTCTTGGAAATATTTATTTCGCATAGTATAAGGAAAAAATATTGGGATATTTATTTACTGATTGGAAACATTCGAACATTTTTTCATTACTTTAAAATATTGGAATGTTCATTCATTGCTATTAATTACGACACTTCAGAAACCGAAAGCTTTTATTTGGTGCTGCTGAATTCGAGTCGCGTCTAAACAATACTGCCTAAACAGTGTTACAGTTTACCGCGTAAAAAACAGACTCGCATAAAAAGAGGTGCCGCGTAAATAGAGTAACGTGTGTATTATACCAAAATACAACGTTCTATTTAATGATCGCGTGCGAGAATTTTACGCGGCCGATGAAAAACGGTTGCTAAATGACGACCTCCGGATCACGCGTTCATTAATCGCGACCCCTAGGAAAAAAAGAATCTTATCTGCCGGTTCTGTAACGCCGACCGACCTTTTGGAACAAACCAAAAAAAATCATCCGCGACTTCGGAGATTATGGTAGACGCTCGTAAAAAGTATCGGTTCCCGTGCCTGTGCGTTCCTCGCGTTTGCAATTATATGGACACGGTCGACTATTTTCATAACGCCATCGTAGGCGTTATATAAACAGTTACGGGCAACCGCAGAAAACGTTCGTGACTTTCGCTTTAATCCTTTTACTGCGGATATATCGTTGTTGGTAACACTTGCGGGAAGTGCCAACGACGATATTGCGTATACGATGGCGCCCAACTATTCATTGCTGACTAATATTATTGACAGAAATGGGGAATATCGATTATGGATATCTAATTATGCTATTATTAATACGCACATGTCTTTTGCTCCTTAACGTGTTAACTGTGGAATTTAGTTTGAAAAATCTCTCGTTTTGCGCGCATCTACTTCCTTTGCATCTATAGTATATTTTAATGGACAACCAAAGGAAAACAAAGAAGAATTACATGCTTTTCTGAGAAAATAAAGAGTTCATCGTTGAAAGAATTAGTATAATTTCAAGCTTTAAGGTAACGCGTACACTTGTCTAGCGCAGTTAAACTGGTTAAATCGCGCAGCGAACTGGGACATTTTACGGACCGAATCAGAGGAAAGTGAAAGACGATCATTGGGCTAGCCAATTTCGTGACTAACTTCACATAGACATGCAACAAATGAGACATTCATTGGACAAATCGATTAACTCCACGAAACAAAAAGTAGAGAAAAGTGATGTACTAGTTACATATTAATTTTTAAAATTTCCCTTAACCAACTAACTGCGTTCGACAAGTATACACGCCATCTTAAAACGCAAAATGGTACTAGTCTTTTCAACGATAAATTATTTATTTTTTCAGATAAATGTGTAATTCCTCTTCGTTTTCCTTTATTTTTTGGTTAGAATATATTATAGATGCATTTGCTTTACGTTTGACGAGTATACACTTTACTATTTGATTTTATTGCGCGTACAATGAGAGATTTTCCAAACTAAATTCCACAGTTAACGGGTTAAATGCAAAATCGAAACATCAGAATGTATTTTACTTAATTGATAGATATCCAGTTTCAATCCAACAAATATATAAAATACATAAAATAGTAGAGTTCTGAAGTAAATTTTATTATTATGCAAATTTTCCATGACCAAAAGACTTCGCATTATTTCGTGGTGCCAAACCCAATCATAATGAAATTTATATTAGATATAAAAAGTTAAGAACCAATGAAGCGCTTTAATGATAAAATCTGAAGAAATTCAAAAAGTGGAGTTAATCAATTTGGTTCGTGGGAGGATCAATTATTAATTTATAAAACATTATAAATGGTTCTTCAGAAGCCCTATGTGAAATGTTCATCGAATTGAAAAAATTGTTTATGGGTGTAACTTCTTGTTAAATTGCTATAAATAATTTTGTAATTATTTTTACAAGTAATTTTATTATGAATAATTGAAAATGCAGTATTCATGCTACATACGGCGTGTTCTATGTCAAACTATGACGAAACAATGATTATTCTTATTTACACATACTGTTCACAAAAAAATACTGTTTTTGCCATTTTTCCTAATGATTTTGAATAAATATTATTAGCATGGTTTTCAATGAATATTTAAACATAATTAGCAGTAATTCATTCTCCCTTTATTTCGTAATATGTTATGTTTCTTTCGCAATGTTGTAAATATCATGCTTACTCTGTTTTTTATGATTTTATTCTCAAAGCTTAATAAAGTACATAAAATTGATTTGGTATTCTTCGCTTAGGTACAATTCTTTCAGTCAGCACTGGAAAGGTTAAGTTCCATAGAATGTTTGAATGACAATGATTTTCTGTTATTTGTAGTTCCATTTCACGCCGAGTTGTTATGTTTTCCTGTTTCTTTTTCCTCGTCGTTCAATAGTGTTGTCATTTCACTGATACACATTTGTTTTACACGATGCTGGTTCTGATTTACGGATTGGTAATTGTTAGAATGTGGAAACTGACGATTTTAACGCGTTAAACGCCATGTTAGTCTTAAATGACTGACGCCTCCGAATTGCTTGAAAATAATAATAATAATAAAATTGCAATATGTAAAATAATCAGTGTTTAATATATAATGTACAGTAACGTAAACAAGTTCATAATAATGTAATGTAAGAATTGGCATGCTAAGTAATTATTTATCATAATTATTTTAATTATTCTTTATTATTTATTATAATTATTTTAATTATTCTTTATTATTTATTGTAATTATTTTAATTATTCTTTATTATTTATTATAATCATTTTCATTATTCTTTATTATTTATAAATAATAATTAATTGTTAATTTACAATTATTCCTATTTATTTATGCTACAAAAGAATGAGTCTTTAACGCATTAAAGACGGACTTATGTAAGTGAAAATTGAAAATCGACATGTTTTCCATTGTCTTCTGTTGTTTTGAAGCTTCAGATATTGCACTGATTACTGACTTCGTCGTAGTGTATGAATAAAGGAATATTAAAAATTCAGAAGTATGTAAACTCGATTTTTTAGAATTTGAAATATATAATACATATCATTATACGTTATTATCGTTGAACGATGTTTATCGCTGAATTCTGTTATACCCAGATATGTAGTACTGCATTCAATCAAATAAAACGATTCCATTATTCAAGTGTGCTCCATATTCTGACACATACGGATGGATTGTGAGTCCTTCTCTCATTTTACGATGCCTCGCTTTAAGGCAGTCTGTTCGAGGTTAATATACGTAACTAAAAAATTTATGGCCGGAATATAAGCATAAAACTTGTAAATGTCGTTACGAAAGTACGTGGTGTATATGCAAAGCTGAGAAGACAATATTTCTTGTTAGTATTGGCAAGATATTATTGTCTTCTCAGCTTTGCATATACACCACGTACTTTCGTAACGACATTTACAAGTTTTATGCTTATATTCCGGCCATAAATTTCTTGTTAGTATTGGCAAGATATTTATTGAATTGTTCATGAAATATCGTCTTTGATGCAGTACTGAACCGTACAGAAATAGAATTTATATTTTGCAACCGAGGTAATTTACAAGCAATCTAGTATTTTTGACAGGATTATAAGCAAATGCGGTGACAGTAATTAACAGAACTGGAATGTACAAAATGTAACTAAATCCACTGAAAATTCCAGGTCATTAGTTAGGTACTTAAAATATTCAAATAAAAATTAAAAAATTATTAATTATCAATAAAAATAACTCGTAACTTCGTGTGCCATTTTTCAAAAACTCCTACGATTCTAAACGATGGTCGCACCGAACGGTCTGCATTTGACCTATATCTGAAGTTCTTGAATTTACTATGATGGGTATCCTTCAAGTGTGAAACAGAAGTTAAATTGGCTTTCCGTTCCATATGAAAGGGTGTGTTTAACCTGCCATGCGTCAGAATATTACTGCAATTTGTGGCTGATGGTTTTCAGACATTCCAAGGCTTTAACCAGCATGTAAAACGAATTTAACTCGTTAACTGTGGGATTTTGTTTGAAAAATCTCGCGTGCGGTGCGTAATTAAAATCAAGCAATTAACGAGTATGCACGTGAAACACAGGGCAAATGAAACTATGGTATATTCAAATGAAAATTTTAAACGAAATAAAACAGAAATATATATTTATTTGGAAAAAATGAATGTTTAAATTTATTGTTTAAAGAAGTATTATTATTATTGTTGTTGTTGTTGTTAATATTTCTACTATTGTTGCTGTTAGTATTGTTATTTTTGCTATTGTTGTTATTATTGCTATTATTATTATCATTGTTGTTGTTATTGTTGTTATTGTTGTTATTACTGTTATTACTATGGTTGTTGTCGTTGTTCATACGATTATACTATTATTTTGGGTTTTTAAATGGCGCGTATACTTGTCAAACGCAGTTAACCGGTTAAATGAAAAACTTACGCGAAGATGGAAAGTTGGAATTATTTTTACAAATTCGAATATTCAAATATAATGATAAAACACAATTTATGTTTAGGTTTATGACACTCTTTATGTTAAGTGTCCATTTTACATTCACGTGTCCATACGATAAGATTGACTAATTATGCTCCGATTCATAGTTGGCATGAGTTAAACGATATTCAAAATAGATCGGCGACGTGTTTCTGCCTCGTATCGTGGCACGCCCCGTGTCTTAATTTGAGTCGCCGACAGTAAGAGACAATAGCATTCGCAAACATGTTAACACGAAAACAGCTTTAATTTCTACGTCATTAATAATTCAGTCGTCCGAACAGTTCAAAGAATCATTTTACAATTTTCCTTCGAACAACCTCTTTATCGGAATTTTTGATTCGTCTACTATAATCTAATTAGAATCATTTGCTCAAACTTTTACGTTCATATTTTTTACGAGAAATAACGTGTATTATTTTTCCATTTGATAGCTAATTGAAAATGGTATTAAATCTGTACTATTGTTTTAAGTGTCATTTTATTTCTTAGAAGAATGAAATAGTCAAGACACTAATACAAGTCGGCTCAATCCTTTCGGACAATCAAATATGTTTAGAATTAAATAACAGAACAATAAAAGAGATACATCTTTCCATCATTTACACATTTCTATTACAATGTTACAATTTCCAATATAAAAATTTAATATCATATAATTTGTTCACTTGCTATAAACAAGAGAATAAAAATTACCACCACTCCGAACATTAGCAATCTTACAATTACTCCCCAACAATTTTGTGAACTTAATCTGACGTCAGGAATGCGAACTGTGTGTAATGATATTCGGATATGAACAACCTACTATTATTGCAACTACGTTCATCAGGGGTGACAAATTAATAATCAGGTACGTTATTCTTGAAAAATCATTAAAAAATTATATTTTTTTTCCTGTAACTTAACTATCATTGCTACATTTTCATAGTTTTGCTTTTAACCCCTTGCCCTAGAATTTTTTTTGCGATTACTCTTGCTAAAATGACGTTATCATTAATAATCTACTAGAAACAAAGTATTTCATGTTCACCTATATCCACGTTTACTCCAAATTTTGGAATCCAAAGCATAACAATCGGCACAACAGGAAAATAATATTTAATTCGAACTCGAAAGATTTGAGTGAAATTTATTTTCATTTACTACTATTTCACATATTTCTCACAAGTCTGATACGATATCGACTAGCAAGGGGTTAAAAGCAAAACCAGTATGGGCAAAATTTGATTCATAGAATGGGTAAAAAGTCAGCAATCAACCTATCGAACATTGTCACATACAAATAAACCACATCCGCTTATTTTAAAAGTCACTCAAGCTGATTTTTTTAAGATGAACAAGTGAATGGTTACAATATTTAAAATTCTACATTATCGTTTTACTTTTAATCCCTTAAAGCATAAATTTTCTCAGTGTACAACGTTATATATAAACTTTAAATCAACCGTTATTCATGTTTGCATTTGATAATCAATATAAAATGTTACCATTCAATGTTTCCTAACAAAAGCTTTTCTTTTATATAGAAGGAATAAATTATAATCTTGAACATAAATAAATTCGTAAAGTTTAATCCTTCGTAAATCCTTTTTAATGAATTATGCATTAAGCGGTTAACCGATTGTTTTCAATGCACTTAACACATTGTTGATCGGTCGTGAGTGAACTCATGTTTTCATACCTAAACGTAGTTGACCAGTTACGAGTCAATTCGTGTTTGCAGTTGCATTAGCTATTTCAATTTTTGAATTGTAGACGCAAAATATTCAAAGTTACATAAAAGATCCGTCCAAAGTTTCATTTCAATTCATTATGTATGCAGTATATTGAAGTTTATTTCGATTGTTTCATTATTATATTTAATTACGGAATAATAATCACTGATACAGTTTAGTTTACGTGTAAAATTGCCGGTCAACAATGTGTGAAAACACTTTCAAAATAAAAATTCTTTGAACACTACCCGTCTTCAAGCAGCCATCCAACCCTAAGTCAAATTGATTAGAACAATGCTCAATCCTCAACGCTCGGCGAAGCGAAAGGTTGACTACGAAGGAAATCACAGGACGTGATTGCATTGTAATTTATAGCCACAGTCAACTTGACCGTCGCCGATGGACGTGCCCCTTTTCCCAGCGCCACCAACCCTCAAGGGTGCACCTTCACCCCTTAGTGACGTGGTGGATGTTACGAAGTTGACACGTGCTCCGCTGCCCACGGTCGCGTGTCCTCGCAGGCGACATGTACCGAAAGAACGCAGGACAATCGGGATTCACAGGATACAACGTTCCGCCCGAAAAAACATCATTCACCCGAAGCCGAAGGAGCACTTACGGCGCCGTGTCACCGAATTTCGTATAACGATGACGGAACGAGACCGCAACGACAGCGACGACGACGATCACGATGTAGTTTATACGATCGGTATGAACATTGTCATCGATTTCCGTTAACCCATTTGCATCATTATATATATATATATGCTCCGGTGATAGATCACGTAGATTATCACAAGAGAATTGAGTGCGACGTTATATTTTCCGTTAGAAAATAAAAGTGGAGGGTGTTATCGGGAATGAAAGTAGTCATTCTGATTAGTAGTAGCTCTCTTTAATTGTAATTTTTCTACTTAAATAAAATTAAACCACAAATTGGTGATTAGCGCCTTCTTTTTTATACTTCCTTATGATGCAAATGGGTTAACCCCTTGACCTATGATTTATTTCTCAACTATAATCAATGCAACCATTTTGTCGTCAATCATTCATTGAGGCAATAGACAAATTCTGGGCATATAGCATGGCCACGTTTTCTGTGAACTATAACAATTGTTAACAGAAGAATAATATTTAATTTGAGTTTGAAAGAACTGAGTGCTATTTAGGTTTGGTAAATTCTGTTTACGATCTTCGCCACGAGTGTGACGCGTTATTATAGGGCGAGAAGTTTACCCCTTGTACTCGAAGGTATTTTGTTAGAAACGTTCATTGTTTTCTAATGAAGCGTAGATGATATTTTTGGATTGGCCTTGAAGGGGAAATCATATATAAATTAAGGAATGAAGCTATTTTAATATTTCACAGATTGATTGAATTATAGTTTCGTTATATCGAATCAAGTGGCGATTGAAGGTCCTCTCGAATTTAAAGGGTTAAGTCACGTGGTGAACTGGTACTCTTGCTTCACCACGATCAAAATATTACTGACACACTGTATGAACACTTGATGTACACTCGGCGAATCGCTTAGATAGAAGGCGAGTTTTTGAGCAATCGTTTTAGCAGATTTTGCTTTCAAAGAGGAGAGATTTTCAAAATTCTTCAAGCTTTATCGTGACGGAAGAGGAGGGGACCGAAAATCCATTGGCACCGTAATGTTGGGTGTATACGAATGTTTTTAGACAAGGTGATCATTAACACGCTTTGCCCTAAATTTTTTGACGTCCATATTTTTTCACAACTGTGACCTTAGAAAATCTTAGCGTTTCTTTGTGCGGAGTATGCGTTTTCTAGGGAATCGATTACTGTAGGTTCTTGTAAATGCTAAATTTTTCCTTGTCTGAAAGTGTGATTATAATTTTGATGGCATACCCGCGCATGCATAAAACAATAGTTAGTTCGATATAGCACGCTCAAGACTTTAGTCGATAATGTTGTTATGGTGACTAAGAAAGGAAAATGATTAAAAAACACGCGGACCGACAACAATATTCTGCTTGAAAACAATTTGTCGAAAATTAACGTATTAAAACATAATTTTCTTTGCTGCTAATCACAACTATAAACAACATAATTATGTAGACTGTTCTTCGATTATCGACAATAAATTTGATGGAATCTGATTAATACAAAAGTATGCTAATAAAAATCAGGAATGTAAAATGAAATTGATGATATAAATAAAATATATTTTTAGATAATACGTATGATTGGTTGCTTGAAAACAGAGTATTGTTGGATAAAAAGATAATGAAGAGTTCTCGAGTAAAATTAGTAATTTGATTTGTTGTTCTTAGATACACCTACAACGGTTTCGGAGGAACTTTCTTCGCAACGTAAAACGTCGATAGAGTTTAGGAAATCAATGAAATCAGTTGCCATTCAAACTATAGTTGGTCTACCATTACGATTACGGACTTTCCCCTCTGTTAAGGACATCGTTGAAGAAGATTCTACGCATCCAACCAATTCGAAAAAACCTCTGAAAATATGGAAGCATATCAGATTTTTAGGAAGACTGTCGCTTTCTTTGTTCGGTAAACGATGATTATTACGTATAAGTACTGACTACACCCTCAATGTAAATCAAAGCATCGTTAATACTAAAACTACCGGGCGGGTAAAATTGATCTACTTCAGAATTCTTATTTTGCAAATATTTAAATTATGAAGACGGTCTTGCGAAAGATTTTAAATTGAATTTGTGTTTGTACAGATACAAGACTGGGAGACCATTCGAATCTTAAAAAACGAATTGTTCTCATTTTTATGAAAAATTGGAAAGAAGTCACTTCAATTGTTCGGTAGTTTTAGGGTTAATAAATTTTCACTCCAACTTTCTTGTTATGGAAAATTTAATGCCGTTTTCAGAATTGTTTTATTCCACTAAAAGTTAGTTTATTAAAATGTACCTACTAGTCACTAGTGTCACTTAATGTTCTCATTACCTCTTCAGACCTGATTTTCGTACAAAATTATGTGCATTTACCTAACAACAAAAAACTGCTATTTAATGCAACACCAGTAATAACATATATGACGAGTAAAAAATGATAGTTCAAATATAGAGTGTAAATACAGTTACTTGTTATAGTTTTAATATTTCATCCAACATTAAAAATAGTAAAATAGTGTACATTATTCTATGCGTCAGGTCTGAAGGGGTTAATTGGCTTATGCAACGCAGAAGAGAACTTGAAAAAAGAGGAAAACACGTAAAACATAAAACTATTCAATTAGCATTCTGCATTATATTATATTTAGACTGGATACGTTTACCACGATAACTTAATTAATATTAATATGCCAGTTATGAGAGCTTTTGCTAAATACGATACATGGGTTGCAGGACTGACTTGGTTGCTTACCATTTGGGCTATGGTAGGTGCGGTCGCGTTTTGCGCAACCGAGGGACCACGCGAGCGTGAACAAGTTATAAAACTGAAAAATATGCAGAAAAGCTTGTCGGTCGGTTTAGCGACGGAATTGAGGCAGTTGCGCACTGAAAAAGAGGAAGACTTAGAACCCCTTTGGGCTGATAAGGTGCGCCAATACGTGGTGAAACACGAAGAAGTTCTATTGATGGCATTTAGCGCCGGATACGGTGAAAATGGGAACAGCGGACAACTTTGGACTTTCCCTGGCTGTGTACTGTTCTCTATCTCGCTGCTCACTACTCTAGGTGAAGTGAATTGTCTTTTTCTTTCTTTACTACAAAAATCGAGACTCGTTTGTGTATCTATCCCCTTTTTATCGAGGCAAACGAGATAGCTGTTTCCTTGGAAAATAGTTACTTGTATTATTAGTAAAAGATGTTTGGTACTTACGTATTACACGAACTACCTTTGTTTTCTAACTATCATGCTTGGTCTGGGTTGTTTTAACACTAAAATTACCAGATGGATCAAAATGAACCATTCCTTAGTTCCTCCTTTTGCAATTATTAGAAAGACAACAGATGTTTCTCTGAGAAGTTATTAAAGAAATTGATTTCGCAATACACAAACTGAATTATAAATCAATTAAAGTCTTAATAGATGCACTCTTGGAGTTTTTATAGAGAAATTTCAAAAAATCAATTTAACTGCTCAGAAGTTTTGAGAGAAGGTCGACTGATTAGTGCGACCTTCAGTTAAAAAACATACATAACTAGTTCGTATAATACGTGAATATCAGATATTTTTGCTAATAACTAGTTAAATCTACAGTTTGGTTGTGGATTAGTTAAACTTTTATCCCATAGAAGTTCATAGGTTAATTTGATTCGTTGAAATTACAGGTTTCGGCGCCCCGGTACCGCGTACTACAGCTGGTCGGACAGTAACTGTCGTTTTCGCGGCGATCGGTGTGCCCGCACATTTTCTGTTAGTTATGAATATTGGTCTTATACTAGCATTGCGGTTTCAAAGATACGCCATATCCAGGAAAAATGCTAACTGTGACGAAGAACTGAAATATATGGCACCGGTTCCAAGATGGGTCAGAATAGTGCCCTTCGTTTGTGTAGGTAATTATTACATCTTTCAGTAGAAAATACATTGAGGTACTTTACACATATTTCTTTATTTGCATCTGTTTTTCCTTGTACTGTAGAAAGATATATAAAAACATACTTACGTTATTTTCAAACGGAATCGGAAAAATTATGAAGTTATAGAATGAACTTTTATTCATAAAGAAAAACGGGAGGATCACATTCAATTACTTATTTCATATGGAAGGCATAAATTAATCGGCTAAGATAAACAAACGGTGAATTTTCACTATTTTATGATTTAAACCACAGTTCACCATTCTACGTTCTAATAAAGAACTGAATTTCTTTCATTACTGGTCCACTACCCTAAACATTTGAGCTTTAGAAAGTTTTAGCTCTAAAATTATAGTAACGATTTTTAAAAAAGAAACCAAGGCAAATATTATAGTTATTCTATTGAAAATTTAGAAAATGTATGGACACATTATTTGAATATGAAGTTTTTCTAAACGAGTCTATAGGGTAAATAACTAACTAGTTTTCATTACTAATTCAGCATCGTTATAAAAACATTTGCATTTGAACGGTACGACAATTACAAATCGGAAATCGTATTGTACGGGAACCTTGGTGGCTGTCACGGGTCGGTAACATTAACCTAGAAACATGCTCTATATCAGGTTGATAGATTCTTTATTTGCCTACGCTTTACAATAATTTTTTACTACTGGACTTGTAACACAAGATTATGGATCAATCGAGTCTGAAGCACGGAAGCATATAGTATAAAAACGAACTGCATACAAGACTAACCAGCAAGAGGTCATACATGTTCATTTCTTAAGGATTAATGCCGAACGTACACGTAGGGAGGAAGGAAAAATCAATTATGACCGCGGTGTGAACTCTCCACTGCGTAATACCAACTGCGCTTGCTTCGTCATTCTATTTTCCCAGAAAAATTGTTCGTTTCTTCATCCGATCTTTAAGGTCGAGATCACAAAAACATAGTGAAAAATAATTTTCATTTTCAATCAAGATGTAAAATTCAAATTTTTTATGTTAACCCCTTGCTATGCAATATCGAGTCAGACTAGTGAGGAGGTTCTCAAACGGAAATTACAAAAATGAAATGTCACTTACTTCTTTTGAGTTTAAATTAAATACTATTTTTCTATTACTAATCGTTATGTTCTGAAGTAAAGGAATTTTTCTTTGTTGTTTGGTAAATTATTAATGACAAAGTTATCTTAGCACAGTTGTGGAAGAAATCATAGGACAAGAAGTTAACGGTGTTAGCTTTAAAAAAGCTGCCCTATTATTTACTATTTCATAGTAACGTTAGAGAACGTTATAGCTGCAGTCAACTAGTTTCTCGTTCATAGTGTTTGAGTTTTCTCATTGTCCATAATAACACTGGACAGAGTTATTAATACTAGAACTACCGTAACAGTCAAAATGAATGGTTTCGGTTTTCTTTTTTCGCAATGACTGACATCTTAAAAGCATTGAGTGTTCGAAATGATTTCGAAAATAAATAGTTTCACTTGAATACTATAATGAATATCTGAAAAAACTGAAAATAATTTTTTGTTACAATTTTTACAGGGATTACATGTCAAACATATTACATGTTCGGTAGCTTTAGTGTTAATAATATATTGCATTTCCGTTGTTATTCCTCGTTGTTACAACATTTAAGCCACTGTACTTGGAGTTGAACAAACTCAGGCTCGTTCTTTGACCGCAAAATTAATTGCTGGAATGCCTTCTCCATTTCGTCTTCGTCCAAAGACAAATTATTCAAAAGGAAGGAGTCCTCGTCCTCATTTCCTCCGACGTCTTCAGTACCTACTTACGTACCTTTCTCCATTTCCGCGCACGCGGACAACCAATCCGCCACTTCGTTAGGCGCAACGCCTTCACTAATTGCTTCTTCAATGGTTTCTTGCAGTCCGCCATTGCTGAATTCCTCTGGATCAATTATTTTGGCCGCCAACTTCGCCATAAAAATTTCTCCTAGAAAGCTACGAGCCACGAGCTCTGAATGTCTAATAGCTTCATGCCGGTCCATGTTTCCTGAAGAAGGTCGATGCAATCTTTCATACCGTAATCAGTACAAAATCAGCCAGCTTCGTCAGGAAATCTCGACATTCGTTGCAATAATTCACAACAAAAAATTCCTTTCGCTTTTTCTACCATTAGTTCGTCTATGCATCGCACGAATGACGTCGCATTTGGTGATGAAACGATAACGTTGAATGTATTATCCTCTAAATGCTCAAATGATAAATCGTATGTTTTACGATAGTCCACGATTAGGAGAACTATGCCGCTAGTTCCGGTCATCGATCGGTATTCCCGGACTGACGGTTTGATATTATTCTCGTACCAGTCCGTGAACGCTATTCCGTCTATCCAAATGTTTGACTGACAGTCGATCTTTGCAGCGTTTCAGTGTTCTTGGACACGAATAGTTGTAAACCAAGAGCTGAGAAACTTTGTGCGTGATAATAACATTGACGCACAATGGTGGTCCGATCTCGTTGTAACCTCTCCTTCTTTCCGAGTAATATGACCCGATTTTAGTTAAATTGTCAAATATCTAATTTGGAGTAAGATGGGTCTGTGATTAAGACGGCCCGATCTGATTGCAATAGTAAAATATTTTCAATATTTTTCTGTAGTATACTGAATCTTGTACATAAAACTATTTAACACGTTGGATGTCATGACGGTCACCGCTGACCCCCAACCAAATAGAATTACTATAGTTTAAATAATACAAGTGTAACAAATAATACTACCTAATGCAGTGGCATTCAACAAGATAAAACTGCAATAATAATAACGCAATTCAATTACATAAGTTGCTATTACATTATTTTCATTTTCTATATTTTTCAATATCAACGACACTCAACATGTTAACTATATTATTCTTTGTTAAGTATCAATAATATTTATGATCCTTTTAAAACGGTGGGCCATCTATTTATGACTTACCCTATGTTTTCAATTATTTTTAGTGGTACACTGAATTTTGTGCAGAAGCCTATTTAACTATTCTTCGTATATGTCATTTACTTTCATAAATGTATTTTGTTTTGTTAGGTATCAATGATATTTATGATACAATAGTCTTTCAAGAAAAGTGGGCCATCTCTCCCCGATTTAACCTATTTAAATCTATATTTTTTTAGAAAATAATTTCTATGCCATAGTGTTTCATTCGAGCAATATACGTTGGTAAAATAAATACTTAAGCTTTTGCGCTCGAAACTTTTTCAATAAAAACATTCAACATGTTTTGATAAGATATAGACGAAACTTTTTTAAAATGAACTTACCAGGAAATAACACAGCTATTTTATAAAAATAAAGCTATTTTATTTCAATATTTCAAATATTCATGCGTTATACAAAGCTTAATATTAAGTATCAAACTTCATAATCTTTGCTGTATAACAAATGGCGACTGAGAGTCGCCTCGCGAGTGCAAAGGGTTAATTCTTCCATGATCCGAATCAAGCTGTGAATAAATTCAATGACAATCACTTCTTTAACGCAGTCTGTTTCATCACGGACATCGATTTTTAAAACGTTGACCACCATGGTGGTTATCGAGCCTCAAAATTGCTTAAAAACGATGACAAGAAGAAAACTATGTAATATCAAATCAAGATATTTAGTTATACGAATAACTTAAGAGCCACGATGACGAATCATTAATAATTAATTCTATTACTATTTGCTTAACCCTTTGCGGACAAAGGTTCTTAGAAATATACAAAACCTTCAATATACGAAACTAAATTATCAATCGTTTAATCAATAGAAAAAAAGGAAACTAAAAGGGTTAATATTAAGTAATATTCTACGTAATACTATTCAAAACGTTCAAAATTCTCATAGCATTCAATTTTGCGCACTGCGAAAGACAATGGACCACTTAATTCTTTGTTCAATTGAGACACTTCTGATTGATCGGTTTTTGCATCTTTTTTTTAACCAATAGTCCTTCTTGTACCACCCACCAGAACACCTTTATATCAAATTACGTCTGATCCGCCTGACTATAGTGACCTACGTACATTTTTTAGGCTATTGAAAGTTCTTCCGTTGAAACGATCTGGTTTAACCTTTGAATAATCTTCAAAAGGGGTTGAAAACAGTTACGATATCGGTTCCAATCCTTGAAACAGTTTTGGGAAACCTAAATAGAATCATAACTGTTATTAGGTATATTGGTTCTGTGTTTCGGTTCTACAATTGTTATAGAAGCGATATAATATTGGTTCTTAAGAACCGGAACTGTGGTCAATACGTCTCAAAATCCATATAATTAACACATTACCTACTGACAGTTATTGCACAGTTTATTGAAGATGCATAATCGGTTCGTAAGGATTTCTTAATAAATATATTCAGTGGGAATAATAATTGAAATCCTGATTTAGTCAATATTTCTGGGTAACATAATTTAATCATTTTTTTGGGGACTATTACACAAGCGAAATTATTAAGCTATTTTTTTATATAAGTCCGTCGTTAAGAAGCCTTCTAGTCTGTTCTAATTATTTTCGAAACCTTTTGAATCTCTGATCTTCAAACAATCACCGATGGATTCTTCGAGTTCAACGTTATTCTTACGCTTCATGGATATGTTCCTATTTACAGTTTCTTGACGATTATACTACTGCACAGAGTAGATTACTCTTTTTGTTCATAGTTTTTGTACTGGTCAACACAATGACTATCACCGCGACATCATAGTATAGAACGTATACCATTAAAAAGAAAAATTACTCTGTTACATAGTTACTTGTTGATATTATTATGAACTATAAATTATAAATTTCATGTATTTAGTGCTTCTATACTGTTCATTTTTTCATTATACCTCACTATCAATTTAGCAACGTTGACATGTTTACCTAATAATTAGTTTAATTTTGTATTTTTTTAAATTAGTAAGTTATAATACAGAAAAATATTTGATTTTATATTAAAGAAATATAGCAATCATAGATTCGAAGAGCCAGTAGTTATAAAATATTGTATTAACAAATAGCTTTTATTTAATACCATGCAACTTCCATATGCATTAAATTCTTTTATTAATAATTTTGATAGTATTTACGGTTGTATGTTAATTTTCTAAATAATTTCTTTATCGTTCTATTGAATTCACTTTGCGCGCAGAATGTACAACAGCTCAATTATTCATGTGACGAAAAAACCGTAATATGTAATATAATAAATTAATATGCTACTTGTGTTTGTCTTTTAAATTTATATCATATTTAATGAAAATTCATTAAATTACATTGTGTTATATTCTAGCCACTTACTACTTGTTGGGAATTCTATGCTTCGGAGTAGCTAGATCAAGGCCGTTTGCAGCAAGTATCCTATTTCCTCTAGATTTTACTGCTGCCGGAGGTTTGTCAACAATACTCGGTTACGTACGAATATTGTACGGTCTTTATCTAGAGGGTGCAGTTGCTATTATTGCCATTGCACTTGCTGTGTTGCGTGTGTCAGCTACTCAAAACTTGACTCATATCGGTTTGAAATACGGCTTACTCATCGAAGCTTAAACATATTTTCATTATAATCATTTTATTCACATAAAAAGATTTTAATTTAATTCACTGTTACGTGATTTTAGAAAATGTATGCGCATCTTCTTACTCTGACCAAATAATGTTCACAATCTAAAATACTGTTGATATTTAATACAAATTTATTTACTTTATTTAAAAGGAATTTATATAAATTTGTTTTATATTTGTATAGAGTGTAAGAGATTAAATTAAATTAAAATAAAGATCTAGAGAAAGAATAAAACGATGTTCGAACAATGTTTTTAAAAGTTAGTTACTACTATTATTTAATTTATGTAATCATTAGAACTGTTCATGTTTTTTAAAATAAATTCTTTTGTTATCAAAAAAAGAAAATAAAAATATTTGGGAAAAATTTAATGTTGCAGTTATTATAATATATTGAATTTATTATAAAGT